GAGATAGCTAATGTAAAGCCAATATTTTAAAAGGGAAGATAGCTAATGTAACGCCAATATTTAAAAAGGGCTCTAGAGGTGATCCCGGCAATTACAGACCAGTAAGTCTAATGTCGGTACCGGGCAAATTAATCGAAACAATAGTAAAGAATAAAATTGTCAGACACGTAGAAAAACATAAATTGTTGGGCAAAAGTCAACATGGTTTCTCTAAAGGGAAATCGTGTCTTACTAATCTATTAGAGTTCTTTGAAGGGGTCAGCAAAAATGTGGACAAGGGGGATCCAGTGGACATAGTGTACTTAGATTTCCAGAAAGCCTTTGACAAGGTCCCTCACCAAAAGCTCGTACGTAAATTAAGTTGTCATGGGATAAAAGGGAAGGTCCTTTCATGGATTGAGAACTGGTTAAAAGACAGGGAACAAAGGGTAGGAATTAATGGTAAATTCTCAGAATGGAGAGGGGTAACTAGTGGTGTTCCCCAAGGGTCAGTTCTAGGACCAATCCTATTCAACTTATTCATAAATGATCTGGAGAAAGGTGTAAAAAGTGAGGTGGCAAAGTTTGTAGATGATACTAAACTACTCAAGATAGTTAAGACCAAAGTAGACTGTGAAGAACTTCAAAAAGATCTCACAAAACTAAGTGATTGGGCAACAAAATGGCAAATGAAATTTAATGTGGATAAATGTAAAGTAATGCACATTGGAAAAAATAACCCCAACTATACATACAATATGATGGGGGCTAATTTAGCTACAACAAATCAGGAAAAAGATCTTGGAGTCCTCGTGGATAGTTCTCTGAAGATGTCCACGCAGTGTGCAGAGGCGGTCAAAAAAGCAAACAGGATGTTAGGAATCATTAAAAAGGGGATAGAGAATAAGATGGGGAATATATTATTGCCCTTATATAAATCCATGGTACGCCCACATCTTGAATACTGCATACAGATGTGGTCTCCTCGTCTCAAAAAAGATATACTGGCACTAGAAAAGATTCAGAGAAGGGCAACTAAAGTGATTAGGGGTTTGGAGAGGGTCCCATATGAGGAGAGATTAAATAGGCTAGGACTTTTCAGCTTGGAAAAGAGGAGACTAAGGGGGAATATAATAGAGGTATATAAAATTATGAGTGCTGTGGAGAAAGTGGATAAGGAAAAGTTATTTACTTATTCCCATAATACAAGAACTAGGGGTCACCAAATGAAATTAATAGGCAGCAGGTTTAAAACAAATAAATGGAAGTTCTTCTTCACACAGCGCACAGTCAACTTGTGGAACTCCTTACCTGCAGAGGTTGTGAAGACTAAGACTATAACAGCATTTAAAAGAGAACTGGATAAATTCATGGAGGTTAAGTCCATTAATGGCTATTAGCCAGGATGGGTAAGGAAAGGTGTCCCTAGCCTCTGTTTGTCAGAGGGTGGAGATGGATGGCAGGCGAGAGATCACTTGATCATTACCTGTTAGGTTCACTTCCTCTGGGGTACCTGGCATTGGCCACTGTCGGTAGACAGGATACTGGGCTAGATGGACCTTTGGTCTAACCCAGTACGGCCATTCTTATGTTCTTATGTTATGTACTATAATGTGGGTGCATAACAGCTTGGAAAACTATTCCCAGTCAAGCTGGAAGGGCATATTGAGTGGAGTCCTGCAGAGATCAGTTCTTGCTCTGGTTCTGTTCAATATCTTCATCAGTGATTTAGATCAGGGGTCGGCAACCTTCCACATGCGGCCCATCAGGGTAATTTGCTGGCGGGCCGCGAGACATTTTGCTGACATTGACTGTCCACAGGCACAGCCCCCTGCAGCTCCCAGTGGCCACGATTCACCGTTCCCAGCCAATGGGAGCTGTGGGAAGCGGTGGGCTGCAGGGACGTGCTGGCCACCGCTTCCCGCAGCTAACGGCCGGGAACAGCGAACCGCGGCCACTGGGAGCTGTGGGGGGCCGTCAACGTAATCAAAATGTCTCGCGAACCACCAGTAAATTACCCTGATGGGCCACGTGCCAAAGGTTGCTGACCCCTGATTTAGATAATGGCATAGAGAGTACAGTTATAAAGATTAAGGATGATACCAAGCTGGGAGGGTTTCAAGTGCTGTGGTGGATAGGATAAAAATTCAAAAGGATCTGGACAAACTGGAGAAATGGTCTGAAGTAAATAAGATGAAATTCAATAAGGACAAATGCAAAGTACTGCACGCAGAAAGGAACAATCAGTTACACACATACCAAATGCCTAGGAAAGAGTACTGCAGAAAGGGATCTGGGGGTCATAGTGGATCACAAGTTAAATATGAATCAGCAGTGTAACACTGTTGCAGAAAAACAAAAACAAAAAAGCAAATGCCATTCTGGACTGTATTAGCAGGAGTGTTGTAAGCAAGACAAGAAGTAATTTTTCCACTCTACTCCATGCTGATGTGGCCTCAACTAGCGTATTGTGTCCAGTTCTGGGCACCCCATTTCAGGAAAGATGTGGACAAATTGGAGAAAGTCCAGAGAAGAGCAATAAAAATGATTAAAGGTCTAGAAAACATTAGCTATGAGGGAAGATTGAAAAAACTGGATTAGTTTAGTCTGGAGAAGAGAAGACTGAGAGAAGACCACAGTTTTCAAGTACATAAAAGGTTGTTACAAGGAGGAGGGAGCAAAATTGTTCTCCTTAACCTCCGAGAATAGGACAAGAAGCAATGGGCTTAAATTGCAGAAAGGGCAGTTTAGGTTGGACATTAGGAAAAAACTTTGTCAGTGTGCTTAAGCACTGGAATAAAGTGTCTAGTAAAAGTGAATAACTAATAACTTTCTGGAAGTTGTGATCTGTTCTCAGATGTTCTGCAAGCAGAAAACAGAAGAAACTTGATCAATTAGTTATGTGCTGCTAATAGATTTGCTCCCCTCTGATCATTTCACCCTGTAATGCTCCTTGTTGGTGTATCAGCTATCTTCATTCTATTATCTCTGGATGTCATTGTAGAACATTTAATTTGTTCACAATCAACTAAACTGAAAAACATCGGATTAGAATTTTAGCATATTTTCCAAAAGAAATTCATGTCCGGTCTAGGATATGTCAGCCCAATGGAAAATGTCAGAAAGCTACAAGGAAGCCAGGGCTTCTACTGAGAAAGTGTTGGTGCACATTATATACCCTTTGATACACGTATGTAACCAGATGCTATGCACTACCTCAAATGACTAGTGGAGGCCATTTTCTCCCCATAGGATTATTCTGCAAGTGCCCTGTTAACATGGGAATGTATAAACTCATAAAAACAGCCAATGTAAGCATTTGGTTTCATCAGAGATTTGTAATGACACATTTCATTCCCCACCCTTAATTAAATGTTAATTTCCCCTGAGCTCTGCCCTCAACATAAGGAGAAAGCTTCTCTAGGTCTCTGATGCTTGAGCTGGAAAAGACCTTGTAGTGGGGCGGCTGCCCCACACTCTGAGAGTATGGGCTGCGGCGGGCCTGCACAGATGGGCAGCCAATCAGGGAAGGGCTTATTGGGAGCCAATCAGAGCCCAGATTGGAGGCAGCCAATCAGGGCCAGGCTCAGCCCTATAAAAGGCTGCTCAGGGAGAGAGCAGTCAGTCTATCCCAGGCCTTCGAGAGGGGAAGGTCTATCTCCAGAGCTGGGAGACTAGCACCCAGGACAGCGCAGCGCAGTGCTGGGCAGGGGCGGGGGAGCAGAAGGGAACTCCAGTCCGGTGTCTGCCAGGCTGCAGGCCCTGAGGGGAAGGGCCTAGCTGGTGCGAAGGGCTGAAGGGGAAGCGGCCTAGGGACGTGGACAGACTGAGGGAGAGAAGGAGGGCAGGATGGCTGCCACTAGAGGGTCCCTGGGTTGGGACCCAGAGTAGTGGGCGGGCCTGGGTCCCCCTCTACCCCCCTTGCAGTACACCCAGCTATTGACTGTAGGGAGTGGCCATCAAGGACTACGCCAGGTCCCTGACAAGAGGGATTAGACTTTGGGGTGTGGTTGTACATGGTGGCTGGGGTGCAGAGAGACTGCTGATCAACCTCCTCTCCCCCCCCCCCGGAAGGGGGTGTGGATGGATTAAGGGGCACTGCCAGAGGGCAGTGGCCTGAAGAGGGCGCCGCGAGCTGGAGAGCGACGTGGGTTCAGATGCCAACCGAGGGCTAGACAACGGGTGGGATACCACCGAGAGGGGATGCTCCACTGGACTGAGCTAATTCCTGGAGTAACCAGTAGGAGGCGCCAGGTGGTGAGACCCACCCTGCTCCACGTGGTGGAGAATGTGGGCAGAATGAGGACTAGGCAGATTGTGCCACATTGAGAGACTAAGAGACTGAGACAAGATGGTGGAGAGGAAAGATGTTTACTGGAGGGCCTGGGTGGTTCGGCTTGCTGAGCAGCAGAGAGAGGTGCTCTGGCTGCTGCGGGGATGGGCACCCAGGCTGTATGGGAGTCCAGGCGCCAAGGCGAGAAGCCAGGGCCTGGGCTCAAGAAATGTTATACCTGTGGATGAAAGGGCCACTTCAGGCAGGAGTGTTCCTACTGGGAAAGGGCAGGGAGGCCCCACCCAGACAAGGGGCCCCCTGTGAGAGTAACGGGGGGGCCCCCAGCTTGTTGGGTCTGTGGGGAGCAGGGACACTTAAAGAGAGAGTGCCCCCTACAGGGCTCCCAAGGCCTGGGCCAGCCCATAGGGAAGGGCTAGGGCCCAAACAGGCTGTGAGAGGGCCGTGGCAGGGGGAAGGCGCCAAGGGTGCTTCCACTGCCACACCAAGGGCCACATAAAAAGGCATTGCCCCCCTGAGGCAGAGAGGGGGAGTGTCAGAAGCCAGGGGGAGTGTCAGAAGCCAAGGCTCGGTCTGGGACTAGCCGCCAGGAAGGTGTAGTGCAGGCTGAGGCCCCCAGAGAGAAGGGGGCTGGGGCAGAGAGGCCCCACCTTAACGAGGGAACCCACATAGGGGCCAGGAGGACCGATGTGGGAACCCAAATGGAAGTGGGAACCCACATAGGACCAGGGATGTCTACGGTGGGGACCCAGACAATAGAAGAGGGAGGCAGGTTGCTCCAGTTAGTGGAGGGCCTGCGATATGAGGGAGATTCCCTGAGGGCCCATCTGCGAGGAGCATAGGGGCAATAGGAAATTCCCCCCTGAGAGGGTTCTTAAGGGGGAGAGTGTGTAGTGGGGCGGCTGCCCCACTCCCTGAGAGTATGGGCTGCAGCAGGCCTGCGCAGATGGGCAGCCAATCAGGGAAGGGCTTATTGGGAGCCAATCAGAGCCCAGATTGGAGGCAGCCAATCAGGGCCAGGCTCAGCCCTATAAAAGGCTGCTCAGGGAGAGAGTAGTCAGTCTGTCCCAGGCCTTTGAGAGGGGAAGGTCTATCTCCAGAGCTGGGAGACTAGCACCCGGGACAGTGCAGCGCAGTGCTGGGCAGGGCCGGGGGAGCAGAAGGGAACTCCAGTCTGGTGTCTGCCAGGCTGCAGGCCCTGAGGGGAAGGGCCTACCTGGTGTGAAGGGCCGAAGGGGAAGCGGCCCAGGGACGTGGACAGACTGAGGGAGAGAAGGAGGGCAGGATGGCTGCTACTAGAGGGTCCCTGGGTTGGGACCCAGAGTAGTGGGCGGGCCTGTGTCCCCGCCCCTTCCTCCCTTGCAGTACACACAGCCATCGGCCATAGGGAGCGGCCATCAAGGACTACACCAGGTCCCTGACAAGAGGGATTAGACTTTGGGGTGTGGTTGTACATGGTGGCTGGTGCGCAGAGAGACTGCTGATCAACCTCCCCCCCAACCCCCCAGAAGGGGGTGTAGATGGACTAAGAGACACTGCCGGAGGGCAGTGGCCTGAAGAGGGCGCCGCGAGCTGGAGAGCGACGCGGGCTCAGACGCCAACCGAGGGCGAAATGACAGACAGGACACCGCCAGCAGAGGGCGCTCCACTGGACTGAGCTAATTCCCAGAGACAACCAGTAGGAGGCACTGTGGTGGTGAGTCCCGAACCCGTCTCAGACCTATTGAAGTCATCTTGTCCTATTCTCTGCATAGCTCCACTGTAGAATTGTTCCCTACAATATATTACTCCTGGGGGAATTCTGCACCAAAAAAATAAAAATTCTGCACACAATATTAGAATATTCTGCAAAATTCTGTATATATTTTATTTGTCAAAATATCACAATGTACTAATGCCAGTTACAATTATTTTGGTAATTTATTTCAAAATATCGGTCAGCAAGTATGTCTTTAACAATACAGACACCTCTCCCCGCCTCACCCAAAGAGTCTGGTAAAAAAATGTTTGACAAATAGATTCCTTACTAGGCATATTAATATAGAACTTTGTGTAATTCATTTAAATTTGATTTTACTTCTCAATAGGAGCCACTGGTGGAGCAATCTCTCGTAGGAGTTCGTTATGAAGCCCATTACTCAGTCTTGTCTTTGGGGTCTAAGCCACATTGGTGGGAGGTGCTGGAGAGGCCATTTGTGCAGAAGGAACCCCAAAGTTTGCATTGGCAACATATGGCCTGAACAACATGGCCTGCAGAACAAAAGAGATCAGTCCTCACTGGTAACATCGTCTCCATTCTCACCCCCACAACCATCACCTTCCTCACCCCTCCATTCTTGCTCCATCATCTTCCTCACATTCTTCAACACTACCACCTTTCTCAGTCCTCCATGCTCACCCTCAGCACCTTCCTCACTCTTCCACTCCCTTTCATCGACACATTTTTCAACACTACCACCATCGTCTTCCTAATCCCTCTAGTTTGTATAACTGGGAGAGGTGAGTCCCTGGTGTAAGTCTCCTGTAGTGACTGGCATTACAACAAGGATGAATCTGTGCCATCATCACTATCAACCCCCTACTCACTATTGGTAGGATTTTCTTTGTGTAGTTGCATGGGTCTCAGGTGTCACAAACATGACCCTGGCCTCTTGATATAGTGATGACATTTTGGATAAAGAAACTAGAAGTTCTCTTGGGTCCTGACTGCAGCAGATTTGCTGTGATGCACTTAAAGGGTTAATGTGATAGGTCTCACTATGCCACAGAGCGTCCCTCTGTGCTCCTTGCTAGAGATGCCTGAAAATTTCCTGTCAAAATGCTGATTTTCAAAAACAAAACAAAAACCCTCCAAAAAAACAAAACGAAGAACCAAAAATGAACAAACCCCAAACTTTTATATGAAATGTTGCATGAGAAGTATCCAGTTTCCTGGGAAAAATTAGGGTTTCACCCAAAAAGTGCCTGAAATCCAAAAAATTTCAATTCGGAGATGCTCATAGGAGATGCGGTTTGGTTGCCTGGTGTCCCAATTCTTTGCTATGGGTCAGGAACACAGGCTAGACTACATTTCCCATGTCATACCATGGCCAGGGACTCCTAGGATACAACAATCTCCCCTCTCCAAGAGGGGAGGCAATTTTGCATCATGGGAGTTGTAGTCAGGCCAAGGAGCCTGGCCTACATAAGAGAATGGCAACATGAGGCATTAAAACTACAACCCCTATCAGGCACCATGGCAGCATTTCCAAATTGAAATATTTTGGTTTTGTCAAAATATTCTAGTATTCCAATTGCTGCTGAAAAAAATCAAAAAGGTCTTTGGAAAATTTAGACAACGAGAGTGGTATTTTTTTTTTTTCCCCTTCATAAAAACACAGTTTGAGAAAATGTTAGCCCATCGGTGTGTGAGATTACCTACTCCCAGGTCAACAAGGGTAAACCTCACCTCAGCTATTCCCTTTGCTATGCAAAGGTGCTCAGAAGAACTGCCCTGAGAACTGCTGTATGGGAGGCAGCCTTTGGGAAGGTCAGATTCTACACCAGCATCACAGCAGTGAGTTGACCCCAAACAAGGAGTTTTTGTTGCCTGGATTCATTTATTTTGCTATCTGGCTAGAAACATTGTCCCTGTCGGGAATGTCCACAGCTGTAATTTTGGGGAGGGGAGTTTGCAGCATCCTGAGCAGTTTCAGCTTCATGACTCCATGGCTGGCTCTGTGCTAGCCCTAACAGCTGCTCTAAAACATCAAGACTGGTGATGGCCCCCAGGCATAGGCGCTTACTCCGTGGATGCTCCAGCCCTGGAGCACCCACATAAAAAAATAGTGGGTGTTCAGCACCTATTGGCATCCTCCGCAATCAGCTTCTCGCCCTCCCCCCACAGTGCTTCCTGCCCGCCGGCAGCCCCTCTGATCAGCTCCTTCCCCTCCCTCCCAGCGCCTCCTGCCTGCCATGATCAAACTGTTCAGCGGCGTGCAGGAGGTGCTGGGGGGCAGGGAGGGAGGGGAAGAAGCGAGGGAGGGGGCAGACCAGGGCAGGAAGAGGCGGGATGGGGGCTTGGGGAAGGGGTGGAGTGGGGTTGGGGCACCTCCTAGCAACTCAGAAAGATGGCGCCTCTGCCCCCAAGGAGTTGTCCACCAGGCAGATATTGCTGGAGTACAAGGGACGCCGACCGTGCCCTCAGTACATCCCCTCCACCAAGGGAGTAAGAGCTGGTTGTGCCAGGTGGGGATTCCATGCCGAGGGAGTTCTCTGCTGGAGAGATCCAGTGACTTTCGGTGGCACAAAAGGGTGAGATTGCAGCTCAGGTTCTGGCCCAGTTACAGTTTGCTCCCCACCTGGCGCAGGGAGATAAAATAAATCCCTATGGAAATTAAAACACTGACCATGAAGGTCAATGTGGTGGCAGTGAAAACTGGGATTATTTCCCCCTCCCATAAAAAAAAATCATTAACTTGGACTGTGGTGCCAGCAGCCTGGTTAGGAATCAGGATAAAAAGGGCCAGAAAATGGGCAATTTCCTTTGCCAAAAATGTCAACCAAAATCTGTCAGCCGCCAAAATATTTTGATTCAACGTGCAACTATGATGTGTCACAACTTCTATTGGCTTCTAAGGGCCATGATCACTGGCAGGACTATATCTCCCATGATTTACCACTTTCCCTTTGTTGGGGAGAGGAGGGGATGTGTCACAGGGCTCCCGGCAATGGTGCATCTGGGAGATGTAGTCCAGCTAGAGAATGCGGCCCATAGAGGAAAATGGGAGCATGCAGCAGCTGAACTACAACTTCCATCAAGAAGCATGGTGTCACTTTGAACACCTGAAAACAAACTATTTAGATTCAGTGTTTTGGCAAAATAGCAACGTTTTGTGAAGAAAGTAGGTGCTTTTTGCTGAAATTCTCATTTAGTCAAAACCCCAATTTCCCATCAAGAAAACTATTTGATCACATTTTCAACCAGCCCAAGTCAGTGCCTGTCACTTTCCCGCATCACATTTCCCCCTCCCCCCCCAAGACACATTCAGGCCCTTCCCCAGGGATACTCCTCCCATCAGGGTGGGTGCTTCGTTCAGGCAGACATCTTCCCCTCCATTCAACACATGATCTGACTCACGTCCCGTTTGAGAGCGGAAAGACTCACGGTGTTAGGGGTATAGCAGATGGCTAGGCACGCAAAGTACGAGGTTGAGACAGCGATGGAGAACTCCAGGATGGTGAACAAGAGCAGCAAGACTGCGATCCCCTTCGCGGCAACCTGGAGAGCACAAAACCACAGAGGATGCTAATTAATTTTGACTGTTAGAGGTAACACAATGCACAGGGCTGTCGTGAGGTACATAAAACCCTCTCTTTTCCCTCCAAGGGAATGCAGTGGGGAGTCCAATTCTGGGGATGCAGAAATCTGGTCCCAGTTCTTCCCTCCTCTCAGGCACACAGAATTCTCCTCCTCATTGAAACTATTCAGTAGCCCCGGTAATTGTGATGCCTGGAGCCACACCACTGTCAGGAGATCATAGACTGCTGCTTTCTCTTGGGTCTATAGGAATCAGTGTCCTTGAGATGCAGCCATTTGTGAAGATGGAGGATCATAAAGCCTAGGGGAGGCTGTGTGGCCTAGTGGCTCAAACACTGGACTACAGCTCCGAAGAACTGGGTTCAGTTCTGAGCTCTGCCACTAGCCTGTGTGTGACTTTGGATCAGTGGCTTCACTCCTCAGTGCCCCCATCCATGCAAAGAGGGGTTAAACAGACTTTGGGGCCAATCCTATGCCTGCTGAAATTAACAGGTGTTATTATTAATTTGTATGTTGAAAGCACCTGAACATAAGAACAGCCATACCAGGTCAGACCAATGGTCCATCTAGCCCAATATCCTGTCTTCTGACAGCAGCTAGGGCCAGATGCTTCAGAGGGAATTAATTGAACGGGATAATTTATTGAGTGATCCATCCTGTCGTTCAGTCCCAGGTTCTGGCAGTTGGAGGTTTTGGGACACCCAGATCATGGGATTGTGTCCCTGACCATCTTGGCTAATAGCCATTGATGGACCTACCCTCCAGGAACTTATCTAGTTATTTTTGGAACCCAGTTCACAATATCCCCTGGCAACTAGTTCCACAGGTTGACTGTGTGTTGTGTGAAGAAGTACTTCCTTTTGTTTGTTTTAAACCTGGTGCCCATTCATTTCATTGGGGGAATCCTAGTTCTTGTGTTATGTGAAGAGATAAACAACACTTTAACTTTCTCCACATCAGTCATGATTTTATAGACCTCTACCATATTCACCCTTAGTTGTCTCTTTTCCAAGACTGGACAGTCCCAGTCTTTTTACTCGCTCCTCATTTTTGTTACCTGGAAAACCCAGTCATGGACCAGGACCCCATTGTGCTTGGTGCTGTACAAAACAGAAGAAAAATATGACCCCCCTGCCTGATTTTTGACATTGACAGGAGTTTTGACACTGGCTTTATCAAGCAGAATCAATAAGACAGTCTGGAGCTGAACACATGGATATTTTCTACCCTGGGGTCAAAGGCTTGGGACAATTCCAGGCACAAAATTCCAGGTATTTTAAACACAGTTGTTAGGGATGGTCCAGGTAGACTTAACTCTGCTTCAGCGGAGGGGATGGACTGGACGACCTCTTGAGGTCCCTTCCAGCCTTATACTTCTATGATTCTATGGCAGAGTCTGGTCACTTACCAACCCAGAAGAGCTGTAATTTGCATTAATAATCAGCTCTGTTAGAAAGAGAATGATCCCAATGGCTGAGAAGATGGCGCTAATGATGTTCATTCCCAGGCTGCCTCTCACCTGAAAGACACATGTGGAGGCTCAAGTTGCGTGTAGATAGAGAATAAGTTTTGTTAAAATAAGAACCAGCTCATCTATGTGTTCTGGGAATGCTCCTACACTTGTATGTTTTGGGCAGAATTTAATTGCCGAGTTAGTTTTTCCCTATCAAATAAAATTGTATTACAAGCCACAAATGTAATTTTAAACCTAATGTATGTTAGCTGGAAGCTGAATAAATCTGAAATGCTTTGGCTAAGCAGAGCACTAGTAAATGCTAAGAGACCAGTACTACAAGCATGGAAATCCAAAGAGTGACCAACAATTGGAGACTGGAGCATAGCTATCGTAAGTGTGGCCACCATGGAAAGACGTGTGTACTGTAACAGACATACCCCCCAAAATTCTCAGAGATATGAGATGCTCTCCTGGAAGTATCTGAATGATCCTATTAAATTGAATGGCTCCCTTACTTCCCCCTCCTCTTTACACATTTCATTTCCTCTGCATCTGTATCCCCTCCTCTGAACTTTGCTTCTATTCTTTAGGTTAACTTAATAATTTTGCTTTAACTAGTTGGATTTTTATAAACAAATTTTGTTTGTTTGTAAAATGTGTAATACAAATAATTGATTTATATTTTAACCATTCATGTCATATGTATATATACATATACTTAATTAAATGTTACAAATACACCTAAGATTAGGTAGGAAATGGTTACTATATTATGAGAAGTTTATATATAGTTTGTTTTTTCTATATATATATATATATTTTTTTTTTGTAAAAAAAAAATCAAAATTTAATAGAAAAAAAGATAATATCCAGCCCTGAATGTTTACACTCAACTCAAACCCTGCACTTCTTTGGGAAAGTTAGATAAGCCCGGCTGACTCTTATTATGAGAACAGCTTGAGGTTCCAATCGAGACTGGCTCTTCATTGTGCCAGGTGCTGTACATATACACATATACAGTCCCTGCCCCCAACCGCTTATGATCTAAACACACAAGAGGGATAGTGAAACACAGAGAGGTGAAGAGACTTGCCCAAGGTTACCTGCAGCGTGAGAAATCAACTCAGCTCTACTGGCTCTCAGTTCAGCACCATTAAGAATACAGAGGCAGACAGCAGGGAGTGATTTAAAGTATTCCCCATGTCTCCTCCAGCTCCCTATTTGTCTCTTCTGTCTTCCTCTCCAACACAAGTTCTAAGAGAAGTTGGTCCAAAGAACGATATTACCTCCCCCTCCTTCTCCCTCTCCAATATTCGTTCCCCATGTTCTTGATCAACAAGCTCTCTGTTCTTTCCCATCAGCCACTCTTCTTGGATAGTGTCCGGAGTCTCCCCCACATTACAGAAGAGGAGGAAACATTATCTAGATACTCACTGGACAGGTATTTTGATGATTCTCAGCTGCAATGGAGAGGGATCCAGAAATGACGAACTGCCCAGGAAAGAGAAAACCATCATTCACGTTTCACACTTACAAGAAATATCTGTCCTCCAAGACAAGCTGTATGTAATGGAAACAAGGGCAAAGAATGACACTTCCCTCAGCAGGGCCAGTCATAATAATTATACCTAGTGCTTAGAGAGCACTTTCCATCTAATAATACTGCCATCCATGTTCAATTCAATCCTCTCAGTTAAGGTGACACCCACACCTTAAGCCTTCCCCACAGATTCTCCTCCTCCTCTCTTCTTCTGAGTTCTGCTTCTCTCTCCATAAGTATAGCAATGAGTATTGGATGGTCCTGAGAAGAGCTCAGAAAGTCACCAGGTTCCTCACTACACCTTCCACCCAGTGCAGCTGTGCCATCCACCGCCTACGTGTCTACCTCTGGAGATTGTACAGTACTCCTATCACCATGGTAGGGGGGAGGGATAGCTCAGTGGTTTGAGCATTGGCCTGCTAAACCCAGGATTGTGAGCTCAATCCTTGAGGGGGCCACTTAGGGATCTAGGGCAAAATCAGTACTTGGTCCTGCTAGTGAAGGCAGGGGGCTTTCCAGTTCTAGGAGATGGGATATCTCCATTAATTATTATTATGGTATCTGAGCATCTCCACATCTTAAGCCTGACCTGCAGCGTCCTCTTCTGTTCCAGTGTTATCCTCCCCAGACTCCCAGCTGCGCTAACATGTCTCAGTCCAGACCTGCAGTGACCTCTGCTGTCACCTCCACACTCTGCTTTCTGTGGTGGAGCAGTGACCAATTTTGCTTGACAGTTGAACAGTCCCTGGTTTGGAACCTGGCAGGAGATTTGCTCTTTTTGCTCATCAGCCAAGTTTCTTTCCCCACTGCCCCATTCAGGGTAGATAAACCCTTACAAGACTTAGTTCAGCCAGGGGACTCAGTAAGAGATGGGGACCTGAGCCTATACCTCAGCCTAGTAAGCTAGAGGTGCTCAGTCAGTGACCTCACAAAGGCCTGGGCCTTGACATCAGTCAAGCAGGGAAAGGTGCTGAGCCAATGACTTCATGGACGCCTGAGCGCCAACATCGGCCCAGCAAAGGGTCTAAGGCAGAGACTTCACAGCAGCTTGGCCCTTAATACCAGCCCAACAAGACAGTTTTGGTGAAGAAGGTGAGCAGATTTTCAAAATGCCAGGACACTTGAAATGTAGAACAGGCAAGGAGGGTAGCAGGGGTTGTGAAAGTGGCACTTAGGGCTGGTAGCTGGTGGAAGGAACCTGTCTTTCAAGTGCATGGGGTGGGTTTTATTGGGGAACTAAGGTAGCACATGAGGAAGGTTTTTTGAAGCCTGGTCTGGAGCACTGCATGATGCAGGATGAATGATCTGCTGAGCAATGGCAGGAAATGGGTCAGCACATTAGATGGGCCAGTGATCTACCTAGTGACAGCAACAAGCATAGCAGCAGACTAAGAGGCGTGACAGTTTAGATGGACTAACGTTCTACCATATCCCTGACCTGCAGGTAGGATCCTGAGCTGACCACATGCTGCCTCTTTCCCTTTGTGGGTTAGGTCTGGAACTGAGGTACTAGGTATCTGTTACTTACTGACCATAGCTACATTCTGTGTTGTCTCTTGATACTTACCGGAAATTTGAAGTAAAGGAGGAGGAATCAGGAGATCTGGGTTCCAGGGCCGGCTCCAGGCACCAGCCCACCAAGCATGTGCTTGGGGCGGCTCCTGGAGGAGGGCGGTGCGGCGGGGTGGCTCTGGCCGACGAGCGGGGCCC